CTTCAGACAAAAAAGAAAAAAAAACCTAATTAAGAGACACGAGACGTTACTGATTAAATGGTTGAACTTTATAGAAGAATAAATTTTATACCACACCCTGCACGGCACCATATAAAATTTAACATTATGGAAAAAGGAAAAAAGAAAACGGAATGATGGAAATTGAACCAGTTATGGCAATTAGAATCACTTACACTTGTTTTTCTCTTCTCCCTTTCTATTCTATGTAAGCACTCCAGAGTGTAACATAAATAAACAAAGCCTATTCTAAAAAAAAAGGCTCATGTGTTTGAATTTGCCTAGTCAATCAAGCTTTTCAATGTAGGATTCCATCAATCTCTATAATGGCATCCATGTTTTCGTTTAACTTGTTGTCAACGGTGCTCACACTGTTCTATCATCAGTTTTTAAATAAAATAAATTCAACGCAGTACAAAGATGCCGAACAAAATGGAGATCTCTGAGTATTTTACAAAAATTCATCAGAGTGAATACCTTCACTACGTTTTACTGTACTTCACAAATGATCATTACGACCACATGAGAAGAAAAACAAGGGACGGATTCTTCTATTCAGATCATACAATAATTGAACTCATCTAGAAGCCATTCGCATATGTTGTTTCCATTTCTGCAAGTATGTGATAAATGTGAGGAGGCGAAAATATAGTAAAGTAAAGTTTTAATGGATGAAGACAACAAAAAGTGATGTGAAAACAAAGTAGATGCTTTAGCTGTCCATTTTTCTTTTCAGATAGAAAAATTAATATTTTCCATAGAAAGAAAATGAACTAAACTACGAGTTCGACTGTTACTCGAAATTTTACACCATAAGGATATCATTCACCATAGAAAAACAAGAATGTATATTTTTTCTTCGGTATGAATGCAGAAAAGCATGATGCAACATGTTTTAGTTTTATCAAGTTTTTTAATAACATCTAGTATCCCTTTGTATAGTTTTTAAGCATAAAATTATAATTGTTTTCACAAACTTTAATTAGAAAAGTAACAAGAAGTTACCGTTGCCAATCCTCTACAGAAGAGATATAATCGCGTTAAACACCATAAGTCCTGAAGCTATCACTCTGAGTCTACTTAAACTATATTATTACATATGCAAAGATACTCAAGCATAAGTTGATGTTGTATTACACCTGCTGAGATATTATTGTTTTGTGTTCTGTTGGGAAAATTTTCAGTTCTACGCCTGCTCGCTAGAACTACTCAAAGCTCCACAATCGAAACACTATACATTTATTCTATAAATTGTCGCACATTCTGAAGTCTTAATCTGATAAAATTGCGAGTGAAGCGACAAATTCTTTCCAGATTCAGTGTCATTTTTATGATTATAAAATGGATACTAGTCATGCGCAATGAGATATAAAATTTTATTGTTGCTTTATATCTGTAAGTATTATCTTCGTAAATTCATATGCTTGAGAGATTTCATGAGCCAAACACATGAAGCATCTACTTGAATAAGTTAAAAGATATCTATGAGCTTGTTTTATTCAATTGCAACAAATACTTTTCTGCTTTTTTTTAGATAAACTATTAATATTCGTTTAGTATCTCAATTATTAGTAAAATATTTTCAAGATATTTCTCTGTCTATTCTCTTTCTCGTAGAGAAGAATCCAGCAAACATAAACTGTTTGCTTGTTTGTTTGTGTGTCCGCGCTTCACTGATTGCTCAAAAACGAGCACAATAGAGACGTAATTAATCCACATCGCAGTCATACCTTGGCCAAAGGTAGTCTGAGGCGGTGAGTTCGAATCTGGGACCCGTTTCCCTCGAACTACTATTGGTCAATGGGGAATCAATGGGAACCAAGTTTTCCGATCAACAGTCTTTTAATGGTACTCTGGTGCGTATAAGTTGAGCCTGGCCATCATTCATCTCGAAATTCTATCTGTGGCCGATGAGCTGATAGGAATCTATCTTGTAGAGACATGTTTCGTCATGGATGATTTTGAAAAAGGAGCTGACGCTCACGGCAGATTCTCTCCACAGCAATAGTGATTATCAGAGATGGCCACGGTTCGGTTCGGTTCTTAGCTAAAATTGTGCAACTAAAATAAGTGTATAGACATGAAAACAGTCAAGTGAACAGTCAGCAAATATCCTAAGTAGCAATACAGGTATTCATATATTTACTTGCCTTTCTTCACCGAAGAAAAGGATGCAGTGAAGAAACCAATGATATATTTCATCTAGCGTCCAGCACAGCTATGAATTTTGTTGTCCTACCAGACAATTTTCTCCCTTAATCTAGCCCTACTCTATTAAATTCAAAAATTCAAATAACTGTATAACCGTGCATAATTTCATTATTTATTTGCGAAATCATAAAGTTAAATTTCACAAATGTTAAGAATAATACACAAAAATATTACACGTAATATGAAGATCAGGAAAAGAATACTGCATGAGCCACGTATATTATCAGCAATACGAAAGGAAGGAAAATCATATTATACCCCCTACGCATTAGAAAACCAGGGGTCTTCTATTTTGTCAAAACGTGCAAAGTTTTCAGAAGATATTCCTATAGTTTCCCATTTATTTTCGTAATTTTTAATTAATAAGCTACTTCAAAAAAAACAAAGCGATATTGAAGATCTGGAAAGAGATTTTTAGGTTTTTAAAAATCGAAAAATAAGGTTGGTCTTATTCTTTTTAAATATTACGTTAAAAACTTTTAAAAGCAGTCATATTTTGATGTCAATATACTAATTAAAGCTCCAAGTTTTCGAGAAATTAGCTAATTAATGAGGGTTATTTATTACGTCTAACGTATCATTCCTTTCAGGAGGATTTTTATTGCAGGAAGCGATTTACATGAACCACGAATATTAAAAACAATATTGGCAATGAAAAAGAAAGACATAATCAACTGTTGTTATTTATTAATGAATGGGCGAGTGTGGGTGTGGCGGATAGATGGGTGGATGTGAGTGAGCAAACACCCACGTCCACATGATGCATATTTATATATAAGTTTCACTATTTTGAACATGAATAAGACAAAAGAATAATAGCTAAAAGAATCTAGATTTATATTAGTATAAATATAAATATAATAGGCAACAATCATTCGGAATTTTCTTTTTCGGTTCGGTTCAAATTTTGAAAACCCGAACCGTGGCCATCTCTGATGCTTATTTAGAAACCGACAGAGCTTGAGTTTTTGTACGTAAGCAAACAGGTTCGAAAATCAATGTGGTGCATAATTTTTGCACCATATGTCACGAGACAGAAAGCGTATACTTGACCAGATGTCCAAATACTGTCGTTTCTGGCTCATAAGAGTAGGGCAGACTGTAATGTGGCAGATGTAGTGTTCTGTTGTAGTATCACGCGAGCACTACTCCGATAAGAGCTATTGGCCGAGAAAACAGTTTTGAAAAGTTTCATGAGAAGTAGTTGAAGAGATTACGTCTTCAACATTCGAATACAAGCTTGAAAGTTATAGTTCGGTGACTAATCATTTATCCATCATGAAATTGTTATAAAGTCAATAATAAAAGTTCAATAAAGATCAAATATATTCCTAGCTTACATTGCAAGATGATGGACGTAATCAATGTGTTGTATCAAGATGAGAAAACGTTCTAGTTTAAATTCAAGCAGATGAGTCACAGAGCGACTGTTTACAACACTGATTTCCACGAAAATAGTGTTTTTTTTTACTTAGCTGAAAATTATGCGTTAATCTCGATCATAATACTGTTTCGTTTTTCTTTTCATAAGATTCCTTTGAGCGAGAAAGTAAGACGAGGCTTTCAATGTATTGATATTGTACTCCACTCACGTTTCATTGTAAATTACTAAAAATATTAGTGCTAAAAAATTAAGTTGATGGATGTCAAAAATCCGACGAAATACTTGAGATTACTGATAGAACAAAATGCCTGCACTATTTGTATCTTCTTCGTAATTAAAAATATAATTAAAGAAATCACTGATTTATGAGGCGATATTTTTCTGCAAAAGCTTAGCTTCATGAAGCTTTGCAAATAAATGATTTGTTAAGATCCAGAATGCACTATTTCTACGAGAAAGAACTTACTAGTCCACATATCTCATTTGTATTTGTGAGTACTAATGTTCTCAATACAGATTGTTATTTAGTTTTTTTTTGCATTCTGTTGATAAATGTTTTTATCTGTGGACACCGCTTAATGGAATCCAACGAGTTAAGCGAAAATATGGACACCATTGTAGAGGCACATAAAATCATGTGATGGCACACGGATCTAACACGAAAAACTAGCTGCAAATAGAGAATAGGTATTAGCAAAATAAAACTCTATGTTATTAATTATGTTTTTACTATAATGTTGTTAAATCTGATATTTGGGTGGGGTTAGTACTTCTTTCCTTTAGACATAACACGTTCATCCTCACGTATTGCTACTTGTCAAAATTGTATCTCTAGTGTACTTCAAGTGAAATATTACTGTTAAATCTTTTTCTTTGTCGAAATACTTTTTTGAAATAAATTCAATACATCTCATAACATTGCTCGAACGTTCTTATGTTGAAAAAATAAGTCAGTACGAAAGTTCCCTTTGACTCGCTCAATTCATGTCACCAAGAAATATGATGAATAGTCCTAGGGAAAAATTTGAGTAACTGTCTAAAACGATATGCCAATGACAAAAATGATCTCATTCTATAGTATATACGACGATTGCTCTCAAAGTTAGCACACTAAAAAAAATATGCAGTCTATGGAACAAGGCTACTCATTGGATGTAAGAACTTAAATTACCTATTGAAAAAGTAATTTGATGAAAAGACTTTTGAATTTTTTGAAAAATTTAGTTTTTCATTCAATACTTTATTAGTTTTGACATATTTTCATGAGTAATGCAATATGACAAGACTCATGTGTTCAATTGTATACTTTCACTTAGCGATAAAACGTATTTTCTCTTGCGTTCCTGCTAAAGTATATCTCTATTAATAATACATCCTTTTCGGATATATGGCCAAGACAAGTGGATCTCAAGAAGAGATCCAACCCGTAAATGATCATACTGATTTTGGTTATTGGTACAATGAAATGAACAGTGATGAGCAATTTGTACGTTACATGACAGAAATATACAAGAAACAACACCTGAACATTTACATGAACAAACAACAAAATACAACAATGGCTCATTATACGCGTTCCAATAACCAATCACCATCAAATCAACAACAAATAACTCGACAATTACCACAGCTAATGGATCATCCAATTAATATCGATCATATTCAAGAAATACATCACCGTCATCACCACCAGAACCAGGCATCAAAGACATCTATAATTGAGCGTGTTAAACGATCCAGTCCAACATCAACAAACCACCAAGTCTCATTGTAACGATTCTTGAGTTTATTATCCAAAAGAATGATCCCTCTCTCCTCTCATGTCCACTCTTTATATATCGATCGTGGAACGAGAGAAGGAGAGAGAATATCTTATACAGAGAAAGGAAAAAGAACAATCATTGAGTATGAACAAGAACGGTCGAGACATAAGATAAACTCATTAGTGATATATGCTTGTATAGTGCATACGATTACATTGAGTATGATGAGTGATAGACGCACGATACGGTAATTAACACTAGGTGAATATATAAGAAGAGAGAGTAACATGTTAGCTAACAACAAATGATATGATAAGTAAGAACAGCAAACAGAAACAATCATTCCACACAACGGTGACAGTAGATAGTGATGTATACACGTTCAACCAGGGTTGTCACACCCCCGGACGCAAATTAGACGCTCTCCCGAGCGTCTGTAACATCAAACAAAACAAAAAAAAGCAAGCGAGAGAGAAGAGAAATATATGGCGAGGTGCTAAAATAGATATAACGTAGGGAGGGAAAAAAATAGAAGTTATGAAAAGGACAAACAAAGAAAATGATGAAAGGAACAGTTGGTGAACTGGAAAAACGTTTAGCTAATAGTATCGACAGGGTTAATTAGCACGGAAAGAAAAGATGAGTAGCCGGTGCCAGGACAGGAAAGAAGGAGGAGATAAGAGAGAGAAATAAAAAAAATGGAGGAGAGGAGAGAGAGGAGGATGAGTGAAAAATAGGAAACAAGTGGATACACCAGGAGACGAAGGAAGAAAAGTCGAACGAGAGACAGCATACTTTCCGAAATTTAGCATATGAAGAGTAGGAAGTGTGAAACGTTAATATCGAAGTGGAGGTCGTCGTGGTCGAATATGAACACGACAAGTATGGCTAGGTGAAGAGAGAGATGTATAAACCAGATGCACTACTGTGCGTCTGGAAGCCAGCATGAAAAAATGCGAAGAAGTACACAGAATCGTAGTCTGTAACAGCATACAAAAGTCATATAAGTGAATTCATGAGGGGAAAACAAACGTTTAAGTAAAAAAAGGTCTAGGCAGAAGGGAGAAAGACACTTGGTGAAGGCAAGGATAATTCATAGAGAAGCAAAAGAGAGAAATCAATGAAAAGGAGAGAACGAGTAGGATAAGGCCATGATGAAAGGAATACAGCAAGAGACAGTGAAGTGAACAGTTGTTAGAGTAGAGAGAGGAGGAAGAGATAACCTTCACGGGGCTAATTACGGATGTGTGAAAGGGAGGAAAATTCAGAACATATAGAAGAGACAATAATGGAAACACGGAGAAGAGAACGAGAGGAAAGAAGAATTGACAAGAGAGAGATCAAGAGAGAAGGGAGAAAAACAAAAAAACATGAGTACGAAAAAAACTTTTTTTTTTTAAATATCGAACAGGGGGTCGTCGTGGTCGAAGATGAAAACAACGAGTGTGATTAAGTGAAGAGAGAGATGTAGAAATCAGGTGCACTGTTGTGCGCCTAGGAGCACGTATAAGAAAACAGGCACGGAGAGGTACATAGAGAATCAAAATCTGCAAGGGTATACAAAAGTCGTGGAAACAGAGTCCTCAGGTAAAAAACAAACGATTAAGTAGTAATTCATGTCGAACAAATTACACCGTCAAAAGACGAATTCACAAAAGTTATCACTGAGACCGGTCAGTGTCTAGAATCGATAAATGCGAAGAATTCAGATTGGGAGACGAAAACCGAAAGTGCCGCGGAAAAGTTACGGGAAAAGTAAATGTCGTGAAGTCCGAAACAAATGATGCATTGTAAGACTTTACAAAAGTGAAAAATAGAAAATAGAAGGGAAGATTGAACTCTTACAGTGTTTCATTCAAAGAAAGGAGAAAACGAATGCCAAGGAAAGTCCAAAAAGTTCGATGCCGGAATAAAATTTCGAAATAATTTTGACTAGCTACGGCAGAGCGTAAATTAAAAGCGATTCAAGATTACGAAGTATATCCATGGTTTTCACGTATGGTACTACTTTATTAAGATCTCTGTTAGCGCAAGTGGTGAATATCGTGCTACTAGTTAATGTCGAGTCGAGAGTAGAAGATTGAACATGATCATTAGTAAAATAATATGTTAAGTCATATATGATGCCGATGCGAATTAGTATAGAGAACAAAGATAAGGATAGGAAGTCAATGCATTTGCTGAACGTTCGTAATAATCGATTGGAAGAATAAATATACGACATCATTCTTGTTGAGAAGCTAGAACAATTTAGTGACTGGTGGAGTTGTGCGTCAGAAATCTGCTGATTTAAATCGTTTGGTACTTTTTGTGCACGTTTTATGTTTCTTGTCTTGGGAGCTTTTAAGAGAACTAAACGTCGATCGTCGATGAGAAGCACAATTGGCAAACTTTGTGGTGATTTATCTGAATCATGAGGAATTAACTCATCAGATTTGAGTAGATTAGATTCTGGTGCCACTGTTGATTGAGGTTGTTCGTCGTCAAAATAGCCGATTGGATGCACAAGTTCATCAGATAAAATATGCGTTTCAAGTTCGCAGTAGTCTTCTGGATGCTTTGGTTGAGGCTCGCTGTCAGTAAATTGAGTTATCATTAACTTCACTGAAAGCGTTTTACGTGTAAAACATTCTCGTTGTGGTTTGATTTCATGAATATACCATGATTCGATTCCGACGGGCCAAAAAGAGTCAGAGACAGTTGTATCGTTTTGTTCGGTTGAGAATGGAGATTGCTGACCATAGGAACGTTCGTAAGGTATAGCTGTAGAAGTGTTGATAAAACTAGGTGGGGTAACTTGTATTGGTGTAGTAGGGTTAGCTATGGGGTTATTCAGCAAAGGATGCCCGAGTGTTGGAGATTGAAGTGTTTGGTGATTCGTGAACAGAGCTTTTAGTTCGTGAAGACCTGTACTCAAAGATTGTATATTGTCAAATACCTGTGTAAGCATAGTATATTTTGATGTAATAGTTGTTTCCAGCGATTTAATTTCTTGTTGAGTCTCTGCACGATACGTAGTAATACGAGTATCCACTTCAGATAAAATAGATCCCATTGTTTGCTCTAATCGAGTAATCATAGTACTCTGCTGAGTAAGTGTGTCCGAGAGATGTTTAATAACAGTCTCCAGTAGAACTTTTGATTCAGCCATTTAAGTAAGAGAAATAATGTAGAGAGGAAATTAAGAGAGAGGCTTCGTCAAAAAATGTAAGGTTCGAGTGTCAGGGTCGCCAGTTGTAACGATTCTTGAGTT